AGCAGCAGCAGCAGCAGCAACAGCAGCAAAAGATATACGGAAAGCGGCAAACCGGGAACAGCCACAGGGCAGGAGCAGCAGCGGCAAATGCAAGAGGTACACCCAAGCCGTGAGCTGCCAAGGAGCAACAGCAACAGCAGTGGCAGCAGCAGCTGCAGCAGCAGCAGCGTCAGCAGCAGCAGCAGCAGCAGCAGCGTCAGCAGCAGCTGCAGCAGCAGCAGCGTGCCCACAGCTAAAGGGAGATACCTGCAGCCTCATTCGCCGCTCTTCAGGTGTCTCCAGAGGAAGCTGCTGCCTGCCCTGCAGCAGCAGCAGCAGCAGCAGGAAAAACCAACATCCGCGGCTCCTATGCAGCCTGGCAGCAGCAGCAGCAGCAGCAATCCTCAGGTGGCAAAGCTGCGGCTGCAGCAGCAAAAGCAGCCCCAGGCACTGACCTCTTCTTTGGAGCCATCTGCAGCAGCAGCAGCTTCAGCAGCAGCAGCAGCAGCAGCAAGCGACTCCACTGCTGCTGCATCATCTACGCGAGCATTTCCTCTAACAAAAGGAGTAAAGTCTTTTTCTTCAAAGACATAGATAGACTCCCCAGAGCTCATCTGGTCTTCTGCTGCTGTTGCTGCTGCTGTTGCTGCTGCTGTTGCTGCTGGTGTTGCTGATGCCGTTGCTGCTGCTGTTGCAGCCCCTGCAGCAGCAGCTGCGTCAGCAGCAGGAGCAGGAGAAGCAGCATCACTAAACGCATCTTCGAGAATCTTTTCTATCTGCAATGAATCGAAAAGGTTCTCTTCCTGCCCCGCTCCCTTCCCTGTGCTGCTGCTGCTGCTGTCTGCTGCTGCAAGAGCTGCAGCCCCAAAGCGCAGCGACTCCACCAGCTGCCGCTGCTGCTGCTGCAGGTTCGTGGCTTCTGCTGCTGCATCTGGGAGCAGCAGGGCCCCACAGTCGAAGGCCTGCAGGCTCTTGAGAGGCGGCTTTGCTGCAGCAGTGTCCGCCCCGCCCGCTGCTGCTGCTGCTGCTGCAGCAGCAGCAGCAGCAGACTCTGCTGCTGCCAGCACCGTCTCCGAGAGCCGCAGCTTGGAGGACCCGCGGCGGTAGAGGACTTCTTCAACTGCAGCAAGAAAAAACCCAAAAAAAGAACTTTTTGAGAAAAGTTTGGCAAAAACTTGAAACAATTCAATAACATAAATACAAAATGCAAAAGAACTTCACAAAATGCAAAATTCCGAAAAGTTTGAACGCAAAGACGCCGCGAACGAGCTGTACGTACACCCCAAACTCCAAGCTCAGCATACACCGCAACGCCGCTGCATCCATTTTAATTTCTTTTTGCAGTTTTTGCTTTTTAATAAAATTAAATTGCAAACAATTTAATTTCATAAAAAGGTGCACTTTGCTGCACAGTTGAAACATGGATTTAAATCCCCTGCATGCACTGCTGCAGCGGCAGCAGCAAAAGAGAGTGATGCATGCACAGAGCCGGGAGAGGCAGCAGCAGCAGCAGCAGCAACAACAACAGAAGCAGCAGCAGGAGCAGTACCAGCAAGAGCAGCAACGACGCAACCAGCAACAGCAGCAGAGGCAGTAGCAGAAGCAACCGCAGCAACAGCAGCACCACCAACAGCAGCAGCAGCAGCAGCAGCAGCACCAGTGTGCTTTGAGATGAGCCTGATGGCAACAACTGGCCGCATTTGGCCCTGGCGGTGAATCCGAGCAATTGCCTGTCTTTCAACTTGAGGGTTTCCTCCGCCTCCGCCCTCCAGAAACACGCAGCAGCGGCACCCTCTGTTGCTGCTGCTGCCGCTGCTGCTGCTGCTGCTGCTGCTGCTGCCGGGCTGGGCTGGGGCCACCAGGTTGAGGCCGTAGCCGCCAGCCAAGACTGACAGCAGCAGCACCATGGGGCTCCAAGAGTCCTCGTCCTCCTCCCCCTCCAGCTCGGGGGACTGCAACAGCAAACAGCAGCAACAGCAGCAGCAGCAGCAGCAGCGGATGACGCGAGCAGCAGCAACAGCAGCTGCAGCAGCAACAAACAGCAGCGACAACTGCAGCAACTGTCAGCAGCGGCAGTAAGCAGCAGCAGCAGCAACAAGAAGCAGCAGCAGCGGCACCAAATCGCAGCCGCAGCAAATAACTGCAGCAGCAGCAGCAGCAAATAACGGACACACTAATAAATAACATCAGCGGAAAAACTAAAGGCAGCAACAAACAACAGCAGCAACCCCAGAAAAGTGCAGCAACAGAAAATAGGAGCAGCAGCAAATATAAGCAGTAACAGCAAATAATAGTCGCAGCAGAAAGTAAGAGCAACAGCAAGCACGAGCAGCAACCGCAAACATCAGCAGCAGCAAATGAGAGCAGCGGCGAGCAACGCAGCAGCAGCAGCAGCAGCAGCAGGACCCTCCGTAGCCCGGCCCCCACGACCCCAAGCCAGCCCCACATGAACCCAAACCCTAAAACTCTAAACCCTAAACCCTAAACCCACCACCTCAAACCCCAAACCCTAACCCCCAAACCCGAAACCCCAAACCCCACACCCCAAACCCACCAGCCCACAACCCCAAACCCTGAGCCCCAACCCCTAAACCCTAAACCCCAAACCCTAAGCCCCAAACCCCAAACCCTAAACCCTAAACCTTAAACCCTAAACCCTCACTTCTGGGGGCGGCCTGAGAAAGGCCTGGAGGTTTCTGCGGCGCTCGGGCTCTGGGGTTTGGCCGTCGAGGCGGGCGGGGAGAACTGCTGCTTCGAGCAGCAGATCATTGGCGAGGTTTAGCAGCAAAGTTGAGTAGCTAAAAATAATTACTTTTTCTCTTTTTCGCAAACAAAAAGCCACTATTCGCTGCAGCAGCAACAGCTTGTTCGAGCCCCGCAGCAGCAGCTCCTCCCCTGCGCCACTCCAGGGGTCCACGTCCTCCTCGCCGCCGCTGCTGCTGCTGCTGCTGCTGCTGCTGGGGGCAGCAGCTGCTGCTGCTGCTGCTGCTGAGTCTCGCAGCAGGGACTGCAGCGGCGGGGGTGTCTCTGTGGTTTTGTTGGCGAAAAGAAGTGGATGGTTTGCTGCCTTTCTGAGGTGTATATACAGGTTGTTGAGGTCTGCAGCACGAGAGACGCAGCAGCAAATGCCGCCCTTCTAGAAACTTGCTGCTGCTGCTGCTGCTGGCAGCAGCAGCAGCAGCGTGGCAACAGCGGAGGCGGCAGCAGCAGCAGCAGCGTGTCAACAACGGCGGCAGCAGCAGCAGGAACAAAGGCTACGGCAGCAGCAGCAGCAGCCGCAGCAGGAACAGCAGCAAGCAGCAACAGCGGTAGCAGCAGAAGCAGTCTCAACACGCAACGTAAGGGTTTAGGGTTTAGGGTTTGATGTACTGCGAATGCCCCGTATGATGCCTGTGGAGCTGTCCGTTGCCTGTGAAAAAAAAGAAAAATGAAAAAAGAGAAAAATAAAAAAAGAAAAAAAATGGAGGAGAAAAATAAAAATAAAAAAGGAAAGACGAAAAGGAGAAGAGAAAGGAAAGCAATTGGAGAAAAACCGGAGACAAAAAGATAAAAAGAAAACAAAAAAACAAAAAGAGAGAAAGAAATAAAAAGGGAAAAAAGAAAAAAGAGGCAAAGACAACAGCAGCACTAAAACCTAAAAGGAGACACTGCCGGAGACAGCCTCGTTAAAGCAGCAGCAGCAGCAGCAGAAGCAGCATAAGCTGCAACGGCACGAGCAGCAGCAGAAGCAGCAGCAGCAGCGGCGGAAGAGAGAAGTGAACAAAGCACGGGCAACGGGGGTGTCCTCCTGCTGCTGCTGCTGCTGCTGCTCGTATTTGCTGCTGCTGTGCTGCCAGCAGCAAGACATTGTGTGGGGTGCTGCAGGTGTGGGGTGCTGCAGGCGTGGGGTGTACGTACACCTAAAGACGGCAGCAGCAGCCGCGAGTCTCTCGTCAGCAGCCACAAATAAAGCTGCCGTTGTGCTGCTGTCAGCGGCAGCAGCAGCACAACTTCCCGCAGCGGGGGCAGCTGCCACGCGTGCTGCGCCTGCAGCAGCAGCAGCAGCAGCAGCAGCACAGCAGCAGCAGTACCAGCAACAGCAGTGGGGCAGGAACAAGGCGGGCACCTCTTCAGCTGCTGCTAAGGATAAAAAAAGAAGAAATGAAACAAAAGAACAAAAAAAGGAAACAAAAAAGAGATAAAAAGGAAAATAAAGGGGAGACAAAAAGGGACAAAAAAGGATACAAAAAAGAAACAAACAGGGGAAAAAAGAAGACAAAAAGAAGACAAAAAAGAAGATAAAGAGAGACAAAAGAGGGATTAAAAACGAGACAAGAAATGATTTATAAAAAGCCAAAAAGATTTTAAAAAAACTAAAAAAGACAAAAGGGGACAGGGGAAAACAAAGGAGACAAAAAAGTTTAAAGAAGCAAAAAAACGAAAAAGAAAAAAAGATGAAGGTGAAATTGAAAAGATTTAAAAGAGGAAAAAAGATAAAGAGGCATAAAAAGAATTTTAAAGGTAAAAAGAAGTAGAAGAGACAACAAATATTTAAGAAAGATAAAATGATATAAAAGGAGTAGAAAAAGGATTCTAAAAAACATAAAAAAAGATGAAAAGATAAAAAAAGTTAAAAAGAAAATATCAAAAGATGACAAAAAGAGACAAAAAATCAAAAGAAATCAAAAAATGGACAAAAGAGAATAAACAAGATCAAAAAGGATAAAAGAAACAAAGAGTCAGGATTACGAAAAGTAATGGAAAAGACAAAAGGAAATGAAAAAGACAAAAGAAATAAAAAGATAAAAAGGAGTAAAAAGACAAAAAGAACTAAAAGAAGCATAAAACAAGATCCAAAAGAGACAAAAAGGCCAAAAGAGATCAAAAAAGATCCAAAAGGAACAAAAAAGAGACCAAAAAGGATCAAAAAAACGAAAGAGACAAAGGAGATGAAAAGAGAATCAAATAAAAACCAAAAAGATCCAAAGAAGATCCAAAAAGATCCAAAAAATACAAAAAAGAAAAAATAAAAGATTTTGACCTGTGCCAGAGTTCTGCGGAGAACAAAAAGGGCCACGAGGCGGGCGAGAAGCTGCTGGTGATTTTGCGGAAAATAAAAAAAGTTTTTTTTATTTTTATTTTTATTTATTTCATTTTTATTTTTATTCATTTCATTTCTGTTTATTTCATTTATACTTGTACTTATTTCATTTCTGTTTATTTCATTTTTATTCATTTCATTTTTATATTTATTTATTTCATATTGAATTATTTCATTTTTATTTTTGTTTTCCTCTTTTTCAAAAAAACAATTAAAAAGACTTTCCGCAGAAGGAAAGGCAAAGGGATGCAAAAAACACAACAGAGACGCCAACTCCTGAAAAGAAAGCAAAAAGAAGTTTAAAAAATTATAAAGAATTAAAAAGAAATAAAAAGAAATGAAAAGAAATAAAGAGAAATGAAAGAAATAGAAAAGAAATAAAGAAATAGAAAAGAAATAACACAAAAAATGAGGGAAAGAGAAAACACAGATGCAGCAGCAGCAGCAGCACAAGAAGCAGCAAGGCAGCAGCAACAAGGTAGCGGAGGCCGCGAGCAGCAGGAGCAGGAGGAGCGGCAAAAGCAGCAGCAGCAATTGCAGCAGCTGCGAAATCAGCAGCAGCAGCAGGAAAGGAAACACAGGGCACGCCAGCAGCAGCAGTAGCAGCAGCCGCAGGAGCGAGGGCAGCAGCAGCAGCAGCGACAGCAACGTGGGAAGCAGCAGCAGCAGCGGCACTAAAGGCAGCAGCACAGAAAGTAGCAGCAGCAGCAGCAGCAGCAGCCAGCACTGCTGAGGCCTGGCTTTGTCTGGGAACAGGCGCTCTTCCTGTCTCCTGCTTCTAACTAGCTAAGCTGCTGCTGCCGCTGCTGCTGCTGCTGCTGCTGCCACTGCTGCTACTGCTATTGCTGCTGCAGGTGCTGGCGCTGCTGCTGTTGCCACTGCTCGTGCTGCTGCTGCTGCTACTACTGCTCGTGCTGCTGCTGCTGCCGCTACTGCTCGTGCCGCTACTGCTGCCGCCACTGCTCGTGCTGCTACTACTACTGCTGCTGCTGCTGCTGCTGCTGCGGCCTCACGAGGAAGGAGTTCTCGATGGGGGTGCCCGTGAGCAGCAGCATGCGCTGCGCGCGAACTGCTGCAGCAACAGCAGCACGAGTGAGGCCTTGGGGGCCCTTCAGTCTCGAGGCCTCGTCCAGCAGCAGCAGCGCGAAGTCAAAAAGAGACAAAAAGAGACACTCTTGCCGCGCCACTTCGTAGCTCGTCAGCAGCAAATCCACGCCTCCCTGAGCAGCAGCAGCAGCAGCAGCAGCGGCAGCAGCAGCTGCGTCGCTGCTGCAGCAAGGGCGGTGCAGGGCCAGCAGCAGCAGCGGCCATAGAAACAGGTGCACGGGCAGCAGCAGCAGCACAACTAGCTGCACGACCAGCAGCTGCAACAGGAGCTGCAAAGCCAGGAGCAGCAGCAGCAGCAGCAGCAGCAGCGCGTCCAAGGCATGCGAAATGTGAACAAAGAGACTGACACAGCTAGACAGCAAGGGCCGCTCGCCCGCACCAGCGCCTCACCTGCTGCTGCTGCTGCCCTTGCTGCTGCTGCTGCTGCTGCTGGAGAAGCTTCTCCTTCAGCTCTGCCCTCGTCGGCCCATCTCCAATAAAGACAAGCATGCGGAGCGGCGGATCGCTGCTGCTCCCCCGCTGCCGCTGCTGCTGCTGCCGCTGCTGCTGCTGCTGCTGCTGCTCAGGGAGGCGTGGATTTGCTGCTGACGAGCTACGAAGTGGCGCGGCAAGAGTGTCTCTTTTTGTCTCTTTTTGACTTCGCGCTGCTGCTGCTGGACGAGGCCTCGAGACTGAAGGGCCCCCAAGGCCTCACTCGTGCTGCTGTTGCTGCAGCAGTTCGCGCGCAGCGCATGCTGCTG